TGATCTGAGTGTATTGTCTTTGATACTGTTATATTACGTATCGGATCGTCGTTGTTAGTGAAGATGAGGTCCAGCGTATTTTCTAGTCTTGTAGGCTCTAATATTTGCTGGTTTAAGGTGAATTTGGTGCAGAGATTTGATAGCTCATGTGTGTGTGAATTTTCATCTGAGCTGCCTCCTGGGGTGATCTCTGCTAAAATATTATTTGCTACACTCCTCTATTTTAGGTGTCCCAAGTTGAAATTTCCTAGTAGCAAGATGTTTGGTGCATGAGTTGGAAGATTTTCCAGATAGCGTTCAATTTTCATAAGCTGCTCCCGGAAATGCTGAGAAGTTGTATCTGGAGGCCTATACACAACCACAATGACAAGGCTTTGGTTTTCAATCTTTACTGCCAAAACTTTAACTACATCATTTGTGGTGTTTAGTAGTTCTGAGCAAATGAGCGACTCTATGATGTACAAGCAAACCCCCCTTTGTTGCCTGTTTAGCCTGTCGCATCTGAATAGGTTATAACCTGGGTTCCATATTTCGTTGTCAAAATGATCCTTTGTGTGGGTCTCCGTGAATGCTGCAAACATTGCATTTGACTCCATGAGCAGTCCCTTTATGTGAGGGATTTTGTTGTTTGTTGACAGCTTTAGACCCTGTATGTTTGCAAAGACAAATGTCTTTATATTGGTGGAATTTAGGGGGGTTTATTTGCTGGCTCTAATATCTGTTGTTCTGGAGTGGAGGCCAATGATTGTGCCTCTGCTCCAGAAGTATTTTCAGTTGGTGGAAGATTGATGTAATTTCTTGACAGTTTTTTTCCCTCATGACCCTAAACAACCTCTTTCCCTGGAGAGGTTATGGGTCCCCTCCTTTATTTCCCATAGTCTGGCTGGTCTGTGTCTTCTTGTCCCCTTTAGATGATGAGCTTTTCAGTATGCGTTATAGCATTTTCTTTCATGGAGTGACGATTGACACATTTCGGGGTGTAATAGGTTACAGGAAGGGGAGTTGCACTCTCCTGCTGTCATGCGGGGGCAGCACTTTTTGGGATGGTCAAAGGTGCATGTCCCACCTGTTTTACCAGATATACCATACCTGCAGATAACCAAGGCATAAAATTTGCATAGATTGGAGTTCTGTTTGCTAGGATTTATTGCAGCTGCGTTCGCTGGTGGTGCATTTTTTCTGTTTCCCCTCTACCTACCGCCCCTGTATGGACATCAGTGCTTCCACAAGGTTTTTACTGGTAGTGTGTCAACACTATTCCATGAGGCATCATCCCCTTTTGTTCCATCTCCAGCAGTATCTCTATTTTGTACCTCTGCAAACTGAATAGCGTTGCCTTTACTTGTTTCATCACCAAGGCCAATATCTCCTTTTGGTTCACTGTCCTCCAGGACAACACTAGCACCCTCAAGAGCACTGTCTTCCAAGACAGCCCCGTCCAACCTACCCATTTTATTTTCCCATGCTGACATGTCTTCCAAGAAGGATCTTTTATTGGTGTTCTTGTCTTTTAATATAATGTAATTTTCTCATACAGGTGTATCTCGTTTGGTCAGACCCAAAAAAGTTCTCTGATTTTATATCAGAATAATAAATTATAAAGGAAGAAAATATAAAATTTTATTGATAATAAGCAAAAATATAATTATATAAAATTAAAAACAATCAAACAAGAAATGTTCCTAACTGAAGCAAATAATGAGAAAATAAAATAAATAAATTTCGTGAAACGAAGCTAATGTATACAGTGGACAGATGGTATTCCATTGTGCCGATGGTTGTGGGAAGTAGCTCTCAGGATTTAATTAAGGTATATGAACGAGAAACCGGACATGACTTGTATCAAGTTCAGCCCAAGACCGAGTACAGACGCCAATGTTTCACCTATGTAAACTTCTGAAGACAACAGATGATCAATTACTAAGGTGAAGTGACACACTGCTGTGTTCCCTTGAAGATGAGATGAAGTTCTTGATTTACAGTGGTACCCGGGTACTCGAACAATATGTCTCAACATGATGTGAATTTTCAGATTTTTTTTACTTATTTTTTAATTATTTCTGTGTATCATTCTAACATATAAAAATTACCATCTGCCATGGCTACAAAGTGGGAGGTGCTATTATTATTATTATTATTATTATTATTATTATTATTATTATTATTATTATTATTATTATTATTATTATTATTATTATTATTATTATAATCATGGGGGAGCGCTAAACCCGTAGGGATTATGCAGCTCTTTTTTTTGGGGGGGGGGGAAGGAAGGCATTCAGACTCATTTCAGGGAACTGGCACACAGATCCAATTCCCTAGAACAAGAGCTTCTCACCAGCGTCAAGGGACCTCCCTTGAGGGGTGGGAGGAGCTGTGAGAGAGAGGGTGGGACCAGTTGCAGAGCGCTTAGTGTATGCTGAGTTAGCAACCCGCGAAGTAAATGGTTCTCACGGCACTATAAAATATTGTATTACTATGCGATTATTAACGATAAAATTATCTACCCATCACAAATTACACGTAAGAAAAATAACAGTAAACATAATAAAAGACGTCCAAATTAAAAATAACTGTCAGATGACAGCAAGGAAATGAGTGAGCTACTCAAGTCGCATTATGACTCGGTTTTCAGTGAGCCGCTAACCAGACGAAGAGTGTCGAAGACCTATCACGCGCTTTTAACATCCTATGGAGAGGGAGCAATGACACAAGGGTCGTCCCACAGCTGCTAAAAACAACAGACATAACCCCACTCCACAAAGGGGGTAGTAGAACAATAGCAAAGAACTACAGATCGATAGCGCTAACGTCCCACATCATAAAAATCTTTGAAAGAGTTCTAAGAAGGAAGATCGCCACCCATCTAGATACCCATCAGTTACACAACCCAGGGCAGCATGGGTTTAGAGCAGGTCGCTCCTGTCTGTCCCAACTACTGGACCACTATGATAATGTCCTAGATGCTCTAGAAGATAAACAAAATGCATGTGTAATACACATAGACTTTGCTAAAGCTTTTGACAAGTGTGATCATGGTGTAATAGCGTACAAAATGTGTGATAAAGGAATAACAGGAAAAGTTGGCAGATGGATCTATAATTTCCTAACAAATAGAACACAAAGAATAATAGTCAACAGAGTAAAGTCCGAGGCAGCTACGGTGAAAAGCTCTGTTCCACAACGCACAGTACTCGCTCCCATCTTGTTCCTCATCCTCATACCTGACATACACAGAGATGTAAGCCACAGCGCCGTGTCTTCCTTTGCAGATGATACCCGAATTTGCATAACAGTGTCTTCCATTGAAGACACCGCAAGACTTCAGGCGGACATCAATCAATCTTTATTTCGGCCGCAGAAAACAATATGAAGTTCAATGATGAGAAATTTCCATTACTCTGATATGGAAAATGTGAGGAAATCAAAACTACAACGGAGCTTAAAACAAATTCCAACCACACAATAGAGCGAGAAACTAACGTAAAAGACCTGGGAGTAATCATGTCAGAAGATCTCACCTTTAAAGACCATAACATTGTATCAATTGCATCTGCTAGAAAAATGACAGGATGGGTAAAGAGAACCTTCAAAACTAGGGATGCCAAACCCATGATGACACTCTTCAGGTAGCTTGTTCTATCTAGGCTGGAATATTGCTGCACACTACCATCACCTTTCAAGTCAGGCGAAATTGCTGACCTAGAAAATGTACAGAGAACCTTCATGGCATGCATAACTGCGATAAAACGCCTAAATTACTGGGAACGCTTGAAGTTCCTCAACCTGTACTCCCTAGAAAGCAGGCAGGAGAGATACATGATCATATACACTTGGAAAATCCTACAGGGATTAATACCAAACTTGCACACGAAAATCACTCCTTATGAAAGCAAAAGACTCGGCAGACGATGCAACATCCCCCCCTGTGGAGAAATTTTCTCCAGGAGGGGGGTATCAGCCCCCTTCAGCCCCTTCAGCCCCTTCAGCCCTTTCAGCCCTGAGGGGCCAAGCCCTCTCAGAAGGGACGAGCGTCTTATTTACTGCTAGAGTGAGTAATTGATCACAGATGCTATGCCACGTAGTCAAGTGACCTCTGCTCCTTGCAGCGGTGTTGCAAAGTGTATTTTTATAAGAGACAGTACATCTCTTACTTAGCAGGACAATTAAGGAAAATCCTGCTCCCACTTTATTACCATAGTAAAAATAGTGTACATTGTTGTCTATGCTTAAGACAGGGAGAAACAAACATTCTGCTTTGCTTCATCGAGGAGGTGACAAGGATGCAAGGTACTAGGTCAGCGTTTTTTTTTTTTTTTTGTGCTAGGGCAGTGACGGCTTGGGGCGGTGTGGCATCGCCAGACTATCTTTGACTCTAGGGAGAGTGACACTGACGCCAGGATACTGATCTGTGCGTTAGTGTGAACAAAGTGTCTCAAACACAATAAATACTTAAGAGAAGTGTGATCAGCTTCTCTTGTGATACATTGTGAACAATAAAGACAAATCTTGTGGAACATAGTGTACCAGTGTGCGTTTCCTAGACAATGGAAAACGTGGACATCCAATGACACTTCAGCTTCTATCAAGTCACCGATACCTGTCGAAGGTGTTGAGAACACCATAGCTCACGTTACAAAGAGCAAGGTATGTTACGAATTTCTTGTAGATCGGGGGATTGCGCAATTCTTGAGTCACAAGGAGTTTGTAATCAACCTATAATCGGCAGTAAGGTGTGGACTTTTGAGTCCAAACAAGTAGGTATTTCGTCAGCCATCATCGAGTGAAATATGCTGACATAACACCCCCTAGGGGTAATTTATACTTACAAATTGTATCTCTTGACAGCCCAATGTTGTGATGGTTTCAACAGCTTCTAGACCTCGTCTGCAGGGGCGGCTGTGTAGACGATTTGCTGTCATTTATCAGCTAAGTGTTCATTATATAGTTATAATATAAACATAGCTGGTAAGGCCATAATCTTCAACAGAATTTGTGGCGCCCAGTTGAGCCTCGGTGGTCTGAGGTACAGGCTTCAAACTTGTAGCTGACTAACGTCAGAGTGGTTCAACTCCACCTACTGGGCGCCACAAATTCTGTTGAAGATTATGGCCTTACCAGCCATGTTTATATTATAACTATATAATGAACACTTAGCTGATAAATGACAGCAAATCGTCTACACAGCCGCCCCTGCAGACGAGGTCTAGAAGCTGTCGAAACCATCACAACAATGGGCTGTCAAGAGATACAATTTGTAAGTATAAATTACCCCTAGGGGGTGTTATGTCAGCATATTTCATTCGATGATGGCTGACGAAATACCTACTTGTTTGGACTCAAAAGTCCACACCTTACTGCCGATTATAGGTTGATTACAAACTCCTTGTGACTCAAGAATTGCGCAATCCCCCGATCTACAAGAAATTCGTAACTGTATTTTGGCATAGGGTTGTTTATTCAGTTTCTGTAGCACTGTTCTTCTTATGAAGGACCTTTGTGAGCCTTGATCAAATAGTGTTAGCACATTGGTTTTGTGTAATTTATTAGATAACTCAACTCGAGCTATCGGGAGAGCAGTTGCTTTAAACTTATCTCTCACATTTAATGCTGTTGCTTGTTGACTTCCTGATTCTGTGGAAGTATGCTGCTGTTCAGCAAAAGCATTTGGGCATAATCCCTGTATGATGCTTTACCCTTGCTTTTTTAAAAAAACACTTCTTCAGTGAGCATTTACCTCCCTTGTGTTCCCAAAAACACTTGATGCACCTTTCAGCTGATGAACACGTTGTTTACGTGCCTCCATTGATGTGTATTGAATACAATACTGTGCCCAATGTGTTCCATCACAAAGTACACATTTTGGAGTACGTTTATGTGTGACAGTTTGTTTACTGTCTGTTGTATTCACAGCTTGATAAATGCCTATATGGATTTCCATTATGGGTTTAGTGGGAGTAGGTATACTCCTTTTATACTAAAGTTGAGGTTTCTTACCCACTGGATTTGTGGATTTTTCATCTTGTTCGTGCTTGCATGCATGAAACTATTGTTTGTAAACCATTGCTAATTTCTTCCAAGTGAAATAGCGTTTATTGAACTTTAATTTTTTAATCGTTCATAGTTTGTGGGTGGACAACTTATCTTGTACATACCACGATAAACCAATCAATTGTCTTAGGTCTATTTAGCATCTAGAGATCTGAGACTATTGTCTAATGTAATTCTAATGCCTGTAAGTCTGAAAAACAATGTTTGGGGTGGCTTCAAGCATGATATTAAGACTGCATGTCTAACTCTAGCCTTGTCAGCATCGAAGTAATTGTCTGCTAAGACACGTAAGGCTATTTGATAATTGCCTTTAACCACCGGAAAGGGACTTAATCAGTTCATAGGGTTTTTCCCTTCACAAGACATTTAAGGTAATTGAACTTGGCAATCTCATCTATGTCAGTTCGTGAATTTACTATGGATTGAAAACCCACTAATGATTTCTTCATAATTATGACCTTGGAAAATGGGTAATGACAATGTAGGTAAGCTTGGTAATGGGACACTTGTTGTTGTTACAGGTGTAACAGGTGTTTGACCACTAGTTTACAGTAGGTCTCTGTGACAGAGTTTTGGGGCAGATAGCCTTTTACCCCTGTCCCCCCTTAATTGTTGATCACTAAATGTATCCAAAACATTTTTAATTTCATCCTCAGATGGATCGATTCAAGAAATTTATTTTCATAATGGGGAATAGTCTGAATTAATTATTTCCAGACGCTGTGTAAATAATCCAAACTTGACCTCAAGATCATCAAAATCTATGTTTGTATCCCTTTAGTTAAACCTATACAGACTGGAAATTAGATTTTCTAATTGTGTAATTTAGTCTGTAAAGACTGAAACTGAGTTTTCAAACAAGCCATTTTAAAGGTATACGAAAATTCTAGCACCACACTTAGAGTGTTTAAAAAACACTGTACTGCTATAAACACTGAGTTTTTGTTATGTTAAGTCAGCAATAATCGAGTCAGACACTACTGGGCCCACTAAGCTTTAAACCCCAGGGTCAATGACCATGAAGGGTACAGGGTACATGTGTCTGGTGTTTATGGCTTAGAGTTTGCTGTGTCAGCCTACCACGATGACTAAACATAAATAAACGAATTATACACTTCATTCACTATACACTAATAAATGTCACTGTATAACTGTAAAAACACACGTGAATATTACTTACACATATATAAATTTCACTGTTAATATATATTTGAAAGCTTAAACCCTTTAAAAATATAAGTTCCTTTAAAATAACAGGTAGATCTATAAGAAACAAACTTTAACACAATTGTCTCTTAATTTTGTCCTTTAAACATTATAAAACACTATGTGTATATATACACTCAGACAAAAAAACATCACTTGGGTTGCTGTTGTTTAATCAGCATTTTTCGAGATTGGAGCAGTGGTGCGGGTGCCATCCCCCGTCTTCTTGTTGGGTGAGTCACCCAGCTCCGTTTTCTTTTTGGGTTTAATGCTGGGTGAGCGTCCGTTTTCTTTTGGCTGCCCATTCTCTGTGATTTGAGTCTGGAGGGAGTCATTTATACTGATTTATATTGTAAAACACTAGTTTTACAGCTTTTTTCGAAGGACCTTGGCTCATAGGTTATTTGTACACTGTAGTACAACATATTTGGACCACAGTGTGGTCTTTATCCGGTTCGAGCACAACCAAATTCTGTTGAAGATTATGGCCTTACCAGCTATGTTTATATTATAACTATATAATGAACACTTAGCTGATAAATGACAGCAAATCGTCTACACAGCCGCCCCTGCAGACGAGGTCTAGAAGCTGTCGAAACCATCACAACATTGGGCTGTCAAGAGATACAATTTGTAAGTATAAATTACCCCTAGGGGGTGTTATGTCAGCATATTTCATTCGATGATGGCTGACGAAATACCTACTTGTTTGGACTCAAAAGTCCACACCTTACTGCCGATTATAGGTTGATTACAAACTCCTTGTGACTCAAGAATTGCGCAAATCCCCCGATCTACAAGAAATTTCGTAACATAACTTGCTCTTGTAACGTGAGCTATGGTGTTTCAACACCTTCGACAGGTATCAGTGACTTGATAGAAGCTGAAGTGTCCTTGGATGTCCACGTCTTCCATTGTCTAGGAAACGCACACTGGTACACTATGTTCCACAAGATTTGTCTTTATTGTTCACAATGTATCACAAGAGAAGCTGATCACACTTCTCTTAAGTGTTTATTGTGTTTGAGACACTTTGTTCACACTAACCCCAGATCAGTATCCTGGCGTCAGTGTCACTCTCCCTAGAGTCAAAGATAGTCTGGCGATGCCACACCGCCCCAAGCCGTCACTGCCCTAGCACAAAAAAAAAAAAACGCTGACCTAGTACCTTGCATCCTTGTCACCTCCTCAATGAAGCAAAGCAGAATGTTTGTTTCTTGCTGTCTTAAGCATAGACAACAATGTACACTATTTTTACTATGGTAATAAAGTGGGAGCAGGATTTTCCTTAATTGTCCTGCTAAGTAAGAGATGTACTGTCTCTTATAAAAATACACTTTGCAACACCGCTGCAAGGAGCAGAGGTCACTTGACTACGTGGCATAGCATCTGTGATCAATTACTCACTCTAGCAGTAAACAAGACGCTCGTCCCTTCTGAGAAGGCTTGGCCCCTCAGGGCTGAAAGGGCTGAAGGGGCTGAAAGGGCTGAAGGGGGCTGATACCCCCCTCCTGGAGAAAATTTCTCCACATCCCCAGTGAAAAGCAGGGGTGCCACTAGTACGATAAGAGACAACACAGTAAGTGTCAGGGGCCCAAGACTTCAATTGCCTCCCAGCATACATATGGGGGATTACCAATAGTCCCCTGGCTGTCTTAAAGCATGCACTGTACAGGCACCTAAAGTCAGTACCTGATCAGCCGGGCTGCGGTTCGTACGTTGGTTTGCGTGCTGCCAACAGTAACAGCCTGGTTGATCAGACCCTGATCTACCATGAAAGGGCAATGAGCCTCGAAACCCTCTCCAGGTAAACTCCAGGTAATATGTAGCACTTGGTCAGCGAACAGAAATACTTGATATGAGCCCACGTGTTCCTCTGATCACTAACACTAGAGAAAACGAAGTTTACGAGAGGGGTAACACTGATATCTTATGGAAGACTCAAAAATAGCACGATTTTCTCCTTTTCTTTATCTTTTTTTTTCAAGTAACCAATTATGTGTGCGTCCCCTCGAATATCTTGAAAGTAAGATATTGACCTATTTCTTGGAAGTGAGCCATTAATAATGAGCGGATTGAATTCATTTTCACAATGAACATAAAACAATAGCTGTTGCAGTATCGAGAGACCTAACCTTTGACATACCTCAAATATTTTATGATTTGTGGGGGAGTAAAAGGCAGATATTTTGCTAAATGTCAAAAACTTACGAAATTTATTTTTGGGTGGAATGAAGATAAGATAAATTGCAATATAGCTGTCCTCATAATATTGGATTAGCATTGTTTTATGAGTGCAGAGTGTATTTTTGGGGGGTCTGAAACAGATTAACCTAATTTACATTATTCCTTATGAGAAAAATTCCTTCAGTACTCGAACAGATCGGCACTAGAACAGTCTTCTGGGACGAATTAAGTTCAAGTACCGAGGTACTACTGTATCGCCTAGATCAAAACTGCCCGTCTAAACTTATTAGTGTCGGTGATCCAATCCGATCAACACGACTAGAAAACAAATTAAATTATTGTAAACAAATCTAAAATATAATTAGTTGGGTTAGGCTAAAATAAATTGTTCTTGTTATAATAAGGTTAGGTAAGTTTTCTAAGATTCTTTTGGAGCAAAATTAAAAATTTTACATTAACATTAATGAAAAAAATATATCTTTAAACGTAAAAGAGAAAATTTTAGAAAGGACTTAATTTTAAATGAGTTCTTGCTAATTGACCAGTTTTACATATTCGGCACGGCATATATATATATATATAATATATATATATATATATATAATATTATATATATATATATATATATATATATATATATATA